AACTGCCTCCTGCACGCCCCACACGGGATCGAGCCCGCAACCCGGCCATGTGCCCTTGACTGGGAATCGAACCCTGACCTCCTAGTTCAGCGGTTGGCAAACCTCGGCTCGCGAGCCACATGCGGCTCTTCGGCCCCTTGAGTGTGGCTCTTCCACAAAATACCACGCGCGGGAGCGCGCGTACAGTGCGATTGAAACTTCGTGGCCCGTGTGCAGAAGTCGGTTTTCGGCCGGGGCGAGTCTATTTTGGAGAAGTGGCGTTAGAAGCAGTGGGGGTGTCGGTCGGTCAGTCGGTCGGTCGGTCGGGCCGCGGGATACGCAGCGCGGGGGAGGTGCGCACGATTCGTGCAGGAGTTGAGTGAGCCAGTCAGGCAGCAGTCTCATGTGCAGTGGTTAGTGCTAGTCGCGTCCGCAATTCGTGTGCGGGTGACAAAAGATAGATGAAACAGGTCTACAAGATGAGTGTGGATGGGAGAGGTGGAAGGGGTCGACCTCAGCGAACGTACCTCCATCAGATTGAGGACGTTTTTAGCAAAGGCCAGCCGAGGAGGACCCTCATGAAGTGAATAACCATGTACCTACCTATAGAGTTTAAGTTTAAAAAATTTGGCCCTAGCCGGTGTGGCTCAGTGGATAGAGCGTCGGCCTGTGGACTGAAGGGTCCCGGGTTCGATTCCGGCCAAGGGCACGTGCCTGGGTTGTGGGCTTGATCCCCAGGAGGGGGCGTGCAGGAAGCAGCCGATCAATGATTCTCTCTCATCACTGATGTTTCTATCTCTCTTTCCCTCTCCCTTCCTCTCTAAAATCAATAAAATACATTTTTTTTTAAAAATTGGCTCTCGAAAGAAATTTCAGTCGTTGTACCGTTGACATTTGGCTCTGCTGACGAATGAGTTTGCCGACCACTGGCCTAGTTCACAGGTCGACGCCCAATCACGGAGCCACGCCGGCCGGGCAACTGTCGTCTCTTAAATGGATGGGAACGTTCCCCCCGCTGGATCTACAGCAAAAGCATAACTCTCATACCATAGCAGATGCTCAAGATAGCGGCTGCATGAACGCAGGCCACACAGGCCCCCCCCCAGCCCGCACAGCACGCACGCCCTCCCCACCAGGCCCCGGGCCGGAAGAGGTCATCTACCATCACTGCCCCGAGAAGCAGTGATGCCGAGGTGAACCCCGACACATGTCTGCCCCCAGGGAGTCTGCACTCAAGAGGGGCCACAGCGTCGGACACTCGGACACCAGGACGCGACCAGACCCAGTTCTGGGAGCAACCCCCCGGGCTGAGCCCCTGGCAGCTTCTGGGTTCCCAGGGTACTTGCTAAGCTGCTATGTACGGGGTGACCCTGAAACCTCCCCGAAGAGGCCATCTCAGCCTCGTGCCCCTCAGAGGGCCTCGTGCGTCGACGGGCCTGGTGTGTGCAGCTTGAGGATGAGAGGGTCCTGGGTTCGATTCCAGTTGCAGCTCGATTCCCAGCCCTGGTCGGGGCGCACGCAGGAGGCAACCAGTCGATGTGTCTCTCTCACATCAACGTTTCTCTCTCTGTCTCTCCCTCTCCCTTCCACGCTCTCTAAAAGGCGATGGGAAAATATCCTCAGTTGAGGATCAACCAAAAATTAAAAATAATAAAAAGGCCCTAGCCGGTTTGGCTCAGTGGATCGAGCATTGGCCTGTGGACTGAAGGGTCCCGGGTTCGATTCTGGTCAAGGGCACGTTCCTGGATTGCAGGCTGGATCCCCGGCCCTGGGGCGCATGTGGGAGGCAGCCCACCGATGTGTCTCTCTCTCACATCGATGTTTCTCCCTGACTCTCGCTCTTCTTTCCATTCCTTCTAAAAAGAATCCTACGTAATAAAGAGCTAATATGCTAATTAGACCGAAAAGCCGGACGACCTTCCAGACGGACGACCTTCCAGATGAAGCCGGGCTGCGAGGGCCGAGCCCCTTGCACAAATTCCGGGCACCGGGCCTCTAGGAGTAATAGTAATGAAAGCAAACTTCCACATTAAAAAAAAAAAAAAAAAAGGACAGTATTTCCAGACCCCTGAGCGGACGTCCCCGGCGGGACAGCCCCGGCAAGAGGCCGGCCCACCATCTGTCTCGGACGGAACACGCCGGATCGCCCGCCCGGGCTGACGCATGTTTGTCATGAAGCCCAGAGCAGTGTCAACACCAGAGAATGCGCTCCCCACCCCCCCCCCCCCCCCCCCCACCGCCGAGGCTTAGGGAGAGGAACGCATGACTCCAGTTACGTGTGACTCGGAAACCAACAGGCATGTCCACTGGGGCGCCCGGTGACTCCAAGCGGGGGCTCAGGCCCGGCCGGCGGGGCTCAGGGGTTGAGCGTGGACCTAGGAACCAGGAGGTCAGGGTTCGATTCCCGGTCAGGGCACAGGCCCGGGTGGCGGGCTCCATCCCCAGTGGGGGGCGTGCAGGAGGCGGCCGATCCGTGATTCTCTCTCATCATGGATGTTTCTCTCTCTCCTTTTCCTTTTTTCTCTGAAATCAATCAAAATATATATATATATTTTTAAAAAAGACAGCTGTGTCCGGAGAGATAACACAATCACATCCTCTATGTTTCGGACACTCGCTCTCCCCACTCTGTCCGTCCGCAGCAGGCCCGGGTCTGGGTTCGCGGTCGCAGGGAAATCAGGGCCCCCTCTCCGGCCTCCGGCCCCTCGTCTGTAACAGAAGGCGCTGGGCCAGACCCTGAGCTCGCTCGGGACGGAGGGCTTACCCAGAAATTCCGGGATCAGCTTACAGGCAGCCTCCAGCCCAAACAGCCCCACAAAACCACAGCTGCTCGGGGGAAGGCGGGGGGGAGGGAGGGGACCCACACGCTTTACAAACCAGAACCACATGCTAACGCCCTCAGCGCATTGCCGAGTTTTCTTCCCTTCTCTTTCTGACCCATCTGTCAAGAGAAATGGGATCTGTAACCATGATACACAGCCGGCCGAAGCCTGAGAGGGCCTCGTCCCCTCTCGCCTACAACGCCCCTCGGGGATCGGGGTTCCCCCGTGGCCGAGGAACCCCGACGGGAAGCCTTACGCTTAGGCCAAGTCCCGCTTGGATCGGAAAGGGGAAAAGGAAGATAAATGGTTCATGTCCACTCCCTCCTCCCCGGTATGTTTGAGCCAACGCGCTACCCATTGAGCCAAACCAGCTAGGGCATCTTTTCTATTTTTAAAAAAATATTTGTATTGATCTCAGAGAGGAAGGGAGAGGGAGGGAGAGAGAGAGAAACATCCATGAGGAGAGAGCATCATGGATCGGCTGCCTCCTGCACGCCCCACACTGGGGATCGAGCCGGCAACCCCGGCACGTGCCCTTGACCAGGACTCGAACCCGTGACCTCCTGGTTCCCAGGTCGACGCTCAACCACCGAGCCCCGCCGGCGGTGCCAGAAAGTTTTTCAATGAGACAAACGGGTAGAGGGCTCCAAAGCCATCGGAGAAAATCCGAAACAGGATGTGGTTGTCCTTTTTAACACACAATTCCCCAGGAAATGCTTCGCGTCCGCGGACGGACGGCCAGGGCTGCCAGGACGAGCCTTTCCTGGCAGAAGTCCCCGCGCACACGGGGTCAGACGCCCAAGTTCACACACATTCTGTCCAAGCCAGGCCGAGGGCGGCCCTGCCTGCTTCCTTTGCAGACACAGGCTGCCTGCGCCCCCTCGGACACGGGTGGAGGGCTGGGGGGCTGTAAGGACACCTGGGGGAGCAGCTCCCTGGATGGGGCTCAGTCCTGCGCACAGGGGGCCCGGGGAGCTGCAGGCACAGCCCCCTCTGTGCTGCACTTGGCTTCGCAGAAAGCTGTCCTCGGACCCAGCGTCCCGGCCCGCCCGCTGCTCTGCAGACAGCCCAGCTGACAACACCGGATGGAGGATGGGGGGGGGGGGGGGGGGAGAGAGAGAAGGAAGAGAGAGAAGAAAGAAAGAAAAGGAAAAAAAGAAATAAAGAAAAAAGAAAAGGAGGGAGGGAGGGAGGGGGCCTCCGGGAACAGGCAGGCAGCAGGGGCGGGAGAAGCCAGCACGGGACCCCACACTCAGAGCAGGGAGGGCCCTCGGGGATGACGGCCCCCCCAGAACCAGGGGACCTCTGGCCCCGGGGACGCGGGCGCCAGCCCCCCGCTTCTGCGCTCCATCTCCCGCGCAGGCCGAGCTGGTGCGGGGAGCAACTCCGTCGCACGTTCCCAGCCAAACCCAGGAGCGAGACCCGGGCTCTGCCCCCCACGGGCTGCGGGGCCTCAGCGGGGGGGCCCTGCCGCTCGGACCCGAGCACTGACCGCGGGGCCGCATTCACCAGCTGCGCCCTGCACCCCGGGGCCCCCAACACACGCTCCGCGGACGGGGCAGCCGAGGCCAGGAGGTGAGCGCACTCGGCCAAGGTCAACATGCCGTCCTGAGCGCCAGGGGGTCGCACGGGACACCCCGGGACGCGAGAGGGCAGAGGGGGCCCGGGGAGGGGCGCACGGGACTCCCCGGGACGCGGGAGGGCAGAGGGGGCCCGGGGAGGGGCGCACGGGACACCCCGGGACGCGGGAGGGCAGAGGGGGGCCCGGGGAGGGGCGCACGAACACCCCGGGATGCGGGCGGGCAGAGGGGGGCCCGGGGAGGGGCGCACGGACACCCCGGGATGCGGGAGGGCAGAGGGGGCCCGGGGAGGGGCGCACGGGACACCCCGGGACGCGGGAGGGCAGAGGGGGGCCCGGGGAGGGGCGCACGGACACCCCGGGATGCGGGCAGGCAGAGGAGGGCCCGGGGAGGGGCGCACGGACACCCCGGGATGCGGGAGGGCAGAGGGGGCCCGGGGAGGGGCGCACGGACACCCCGGGATGCGGGCGCGCAAAGGGGCCCGGGGAGGGGCCCTCAGCACCGGGCACGGGTTGGGGCGCGGGGGCGGCGGGGGCGAGGGCGCGGCAGGGAGAGGCAGGCGCCCCCCCCCCCCGGGCGGAAGGAGCGCCCCCCCAGGGCAGAGCGACGCGGCTCCCACCTTGAGCACCGTGACGGCGTCCGCGCTGTGCACCTGGAAGTGCGCGGGCGGCTCGGCGCCGGGCTCGGCCGCCTCGTCGGGGCCCGGGTAGCTGAAGCAGGCGCCGGCGATGTCCAGGCGGCCGAGCGGCAGCGCGTCCTGCGGGCTCTTGAAGTAGTAGAGGCAGCAGCGCCGCGCGTCGAACACGAACCAGCGGCTGCGGTAGCCGCGCAGCGGGCCCTTGCCCGACAGCTTCTGCAGGTAGCCGCACAGGCGCGCCGGCTCCCGCCCCGGCCCCGCGCCCTCGCCCCCGCCGCCCCCGCCGCCCTCGTCCGCGCGGGGCCCGGGCCCCGGCATCGCCCGCCGCGCGCCCACTGCCCCCGGACCCGCGCCTGCCCGCCCGCCGCACCCCCCGGGACGCCCCGCCCTAGCGCAAGGCAGCCTGGGGGTTGTAGTCCCGCCCCCGCCACGCCCACGCCCACCGGCCTCACGCTTGCCCGCCCGCGCCACCGCCCACGCCCTCCCGCGCAAGGCAGCCTGGGATTTGTAGACCCGCAACCGCCGGCCCGCACCGCCGCCCACTCCCTCCCGCGCAAGGCAGCCTGGGGGTTGTAGTCCCGCCTACGGCCTGCGCGCAAAGTCGCCCGGGACTTGTAGTCCGTCCACGTGGACTCCGGAGGCGGTGGGGGTGGGGGGGGTCAAGCGCACCAGGTGAGGTCCCGGTAGGCCACTCCGTGCTCGCTGCCCTCGCGTGCGCACTGTTGCACCTCTACCTAGGAGAGTGGGTATATGGGGGTGCGCAGGGCACGAAACCCACCAGGGTGTCCCCTCGATACCGTGGGCACAAAACTGTTAAAAGTATATTTACTTATTTTGTATTGGCTTCAGGGACAGCCCGCAACCCGGGCAGGTGCCCTTGACCTCGAATCGAACCGTGACCTCCTGGTTCCTAGGTCGATGCTCAACCACTGAGCCACCTCGGCTGGGCTCAAGGTGTTTGCTTTTTATTTTATCTTTTTATATTTATTTTATTGATTTTTTTCAGAGAGGAAGGGAGAGGGATAGAGAGTTAGAAACATCGATGAGAGAGAAACATCCATCGGCTGCCTCCTGCACGCCCCCTATTGGGGATGTGCCTGCAACCAAGGTCCATGCCCTTGGCCGGAATCGAACCCGGGACCCTCCAGTCCGCAGGCCGACGCGCTATCCACTGAGCCACACCGGTCAGGGCGTGTTTGCTTTTTTAAAGTGAGCGCTGACCATCTGAGCGAGAGCAGAGCTTCTCCAACCACCACCTGCCTCCCCGAGCAGATGGAGAGTGGGGCCTTCCTGGGGAGGGAAGGTCTCTCAGGTGAAATGCCAGCGTCCCGTGCCCCGTGCGGGCGTACTGCATGCCCACGTGAGCCCCTGCCCCCTCGGCCTCAGAAAACCCAGTGACCAGAAGGAAATGGCCAGCCCAGGAGGAAGTGGCTGCGTTTGCTGAAAAGGGGAAATTTGGGCTGCGGACTTGCTTTTCGCACTTCCTGCCCTCATAGGGGGGGTGGGTGTGAGGGGGATCGACTGGGCTCTGGAGGCCAGCGGGGGGGGGGGTCCCCACAACAAGGGAGGGGCTGTGTGACCCCCGGGCCTCCCCGGCCTCAGTGACTTCACCTGTAGAATGGCACAGTGGTAGCCTTGACCTCCGGGAGCTGTGGTGAGGGGCGTAGAGGGGACCATAAGCACAAGGTATCTGGCACAGCCCCTGATGTCCCGTTAAGGCCTCAGTCTGGTCGTCAATTCACCCAACACACACACGGCCCCAGGCCTGCCCCCTGCCTCTGCCTGCCGTTGGCGACACCGAAACTCAGACAAGGACTGGGCGCCTGGCTCCCGCTCCCAGAAGCTCTCAGCCCCCGGCCGGCGAGGCTCGGTGGTGGAGCGTCCACCTATGAGCCAGGGGGTCCGGGTTCGATTCCTGGTCGGGGCACACGCCAGGGTTGTGGGCTCGATCCCCAGTAGGAGGCGTGCAGGAGGCGGCCGATGCATGATTCTCTCTCATCATTGATGTCCCTCTCTCTCCCTCTCCCTTCCTCTCTGAAATCAATAAAAAATAGTTTGTGTGTTTTTTTTAAAGAGAGGCCCTCAGCCTAAGCAGGTGGCGGAGCTTCAGAGAGGAGCCCACCAGGGGCCCTCTTGGCGGGGAGGCTCCCAGGAGGCCTCATTTCCCTACCAAAGTGGCAGGCAAATCAACACGCCTCGGGGTTCTTTTTCCTAGAGGTCAGGCATCGGAGGTGCTGACCAGGCTCCCAGCCCCTGGGGCCGGGGGGCCCGGGGACCAGGGCTGGGACAGGCAGGGGTCTGGGTGCCCCTGGGGCCAGGGGGACCAGGGACCAGGGCTGGGACAGGCAGGGACCTGGGTGCCCTTGGGTCTGGGGAACCAGGGCTGGGACAGGCAGGGGTCTGGGTGCCCTTGGGGCTGGGGGGCTGGGGGACCAGGGCTGGGACAGGCAGGGGTCTGGGTGCCCCTGGGGCTGGGGGACTGGGGGACCAGGGCTGGGACAGGCAGGGGTCTGGGTGCCCCCCGGGTGCCGAGGGGTGGAGGGTTGGCAGGCAGTTTATCTGCACGCTGCGGGGTTCTTGTGAGTTCAGCTGCCCTGACCTCCAGACCGTGTTCAGATAGGATGGAACTTTTATTTTTTTTAAATTTATTTTTAAATGTATTTTTAATGGTTTCAGCGAGGAGGGGAGAGGGAGGCAGAGATAGATACCTCCCCCCACTGGTTGGGATCCAGACCGCAACCTGGGTGTGTGCCCTTGACCGGGAATGGAACCCTGACCTCCTGGTTCCTAGGTCGATGCCCAGCTATTGAGCCACGCCGGCCGGGCTGATGGAAGTTTTATGAAGACGAAATGAAGCGGGTGGGGTGTTCCGTGGTGTAGACAGTTACTCATTTATTCATTTTGATCTTGTGCTTTTCTCGATTTAGATTTGGGAGCCGGTGTGGGGCGTGCAGGAGGCAGCCGGTCCATGATTCCCTCTCATCATTGATATTTCTATCTCTCTCTCTCCCGCTCCCTTCCTCTCTGAAATCAAAAAAGTACATATATTAAAAACAAAACAAGCCCTAGCCGGTTTGGCTCAATGGGTAGAGCGTCAGCCTGTGGACTGAAGGGTCCCGGGTTCGATTCCGGTCAAGGGCACAGGCCCGGGTTGCGGGCTCGGTCCCCAGTGGGGGGCGTGCAGGAGGCAGCCGATCCAGGATTCTCTCTCATCATTGATGTGTCTCTCACTCTCTCCCTCTTTCTTCCTCTCTGAAATCAATAAAAAAATATATATATTAAAAAAAACAACAACAAGAAATGGCTGAAGACAGGGCCGGTGAGCGTCTTCCTGGGGGACCTTTCCTGGGGTTCCTTCCGCGAGGGCGGGCCAGACGCAGCTCCCTCAGGAGAGAGCACCTTTGGGAGGACCCGTGACCACCTCTTGGTCCTACGGGAGGAGCATGACCTTGAGGGAGGACGGCCCAGGACGAGGAAGTTTCCAGAAGACGGATGGAAACTGAGAATTCTGGGGACTTCCCAGCCCCGGGCTGACGTGGAGCTGGGCTGAGTGTATGGCGCGTGCTCGGTGACTCCCAGCCACAGTCCCGCGTGGATCGGCTCCCCACCCCCAAAGCCTACGGGGGGGGGGGGGGGGAGGGTCCTTTCTCTCGCTCTGTTTTTGTTTGTTTTTTAATATATTTTTACTAGAGGCCTGGTGCACGAATTTGTGCAGGGGTGGGGTCCCTTGGCCTGGCCAGCGACTGGGGCGGATCGGGGGCCATCTCACTCAGTCCTGATCAGGGCCGGCTGGCCAGCTGGGGGGAGGGACTGTGGGCGGTTGGCCGTGGGAGCGCACTGACCACCAGGGGCAGCTCCTACATTGAGCGTCTGCCCCCTGGAGGTCAGTGCATCGTCACGGTGACCAGTTGACTGGTCGTAACAGTTGCTTAGGCTTTTATGTATATAGATTGATTTCAGAGAGGAGGGGAGAGGGAGAGAGAGAGAGAAACATCCATGATGAGAGAGGCCTGGCCGGCGTGGCTCAGTGGTTGAGCGTCGGCCTAGGAACCAGGAGTTCAGGGTTCGATTCCCGGTCAGGGCACAGGCTGGGTTACAGGCTTGATCCCCAGTGTGGGGCGTGCGGGAGGCAGCCGGTCCATGATTCTCTCTCATCATGGATGTTTCTCTCTCCCTCTCTCTTCCTCTCTGACATCAATAAAAAATATATTTTAAAATAAAGATGATGAGCTTGGCTGGTTTGACTCAGTGGATAGAGGGACAGCCTGCAGACTGAAGGGTCCCGGGTTCGGTTCCCGGTCAAGGGCTCATGCCCGGGTTGCAGGCTCCAGTGGGGGGCGTGCAGGAGGCAGCAGATCCATGATTCTCTCTCATCACTGATGTTTCTATCTCTCCCTCTCCCTTCCTCTCTGAAATCACTAAAAATATATTTTAAAAAAAGAACAAAGATGATGAGAGAGAATCATGGATCGGCTGCCTCCTGCACGCCCCACACTGGGGATCGGAGCCTGCAACCCGGGCAACCGGGAATCGAACCCGGGACCTCCTGGTTCTTAGGTTGAAGCTCAACCACTGAGCCACGCTAACCAGCAGGGCCCCCCTCCGTTTCCACAAATGAAACAGGCACAGTGAAGTTACTGCCTCACTTAAGGTCCCGAAGCCAGCAGTTGGGATGATTCTAAGGCAAGCCCACTTACCAACTGCAGAGCCGGAAGCCTCCTATGTCCCTTGTCTACCCCTGAGGGCACCCAGGGTGGAGGAGGGCAGAGCTGCTCTGGGACCTCAGGTGCAGGGACTCGCCCCCCCACATCTTCTGAGGGTAAACACGGACCCCTCTCCTGCCCCAGGCTGCACCCCCTGGGGACACAAAGTCTTTGTCTTCGAATGCAAATGCCCGGGCTCCGCCCTTAAAAGTCTGGGCCTCAGAGGGAGGAGGGAAGGGAACGCGTCATGGAAAACGGTGCTGGCAAGGCGTTTCTTTGCATTTGAATATTTCCCGGACTCAGGTTGGCCGCAGCCCCGCTGGCCCAGGAACGGCTCAGAATCGCGTTTCTATTTTTATTTTATTTTTCCATTGATTTTTAGAGAGAGTCGTCAGGAGGGCGGGAGGAGAGAGAGGGGAGAGAGAGAGAGAGGGAGAGACATCAGTGAGGAGAGAGAATCACGGATCGGCTGCCTCCTGCACGCCCCCCACTGGGGATGGAGCCCGCCACCCGGGCCTGTGCCCTGACCGGGAATCGAACCCTGACCTCCTGGTTCATAGGTCGACGCACAACCACTGAGCCTCACCGCCGGGCCTGCTCCCTCGTTCTTAAACATTGTGCTGTCACAGGTGGTCCCCATAACGGCCCTAGAGTCTAGACCAGTGGTTCTCAACCTTCCTGATGCCGCGACCCGTTAATACGGCTCCTCATGCTGTGGGGACCCCCAACCATAACATCATTTCCGTGGCTGCTTCATTGCTGTCATGTTGCTGCTGTGATGAATCGTCATGTAAATACCTGATATGCAGGATGGATTTTCATTGCTACAAATTGAACATAATTGAAGCATAGTGATTCATCACAGAAACAATATGTAATTATAGATGTGTTTTCCGATGGTCTTAGGCGACCCCTGTGAAAGGGTCGTTCAGCCTCCACCCAAAGGGGCCGCGACCCCCAGGCTGAGAACCGCTGGTCTAGACGCTACATCCTGAGCGGAAAGTGGAATTAATCAGCCCAGAACTGTAGCAAAGTACAGGCGGCCTCTATGAGGGCAGCAGACGTGGACTTTAAACCCACTGCTTTGCTAATGGTGGCATGCTGTGGCTTCATTCCGGACTGGTCTTTATCTTATTTTTTAAATATATTTTTATTGATTTCAGAGAGGAAGGGAGAGAGAGAGAGAAGCATCCATGATGAGAGAGAATCGTGGATCGGCCGCCTCCTGCACGCCCCCCACTGGGGATGGAGCCCGCAACCCGGGCCTGTGCCCTGACCGGGAATTGAACCCCGACCTCCTGGTTCCTAGGTCGGCGCTCAGCCCCTGAGCCACGCTGGCCGGGCCCTGCATAGAATTTAAACCCCTGCTTCGTGTGCAGCGGCCGTGCTGTGGACTTCACTCAGGGCTGGTCTTGAGCTGAGAGAAATGGGGAAAGAGGGCAAGGCCAGTGGGCCATCGGGGATCCCCTCCCCTCCCTCTCTGGGTGCCGGGGCGACCCTCCCCCAGTGTCTCCAGCCAGCCAAGGGGAGCCAGCCACCCGCCCAAGGTGACAATGGGCCCCTGTGTGCGGCTGGCAGTTGGGACGGTGCAGCCTCAGGACGCAGGCAAATGAGCTGGGGTGCCTGCAGATATAGGGGCTCCTGGCCTCTGCTCCCGCCTCAGAGCTCGGCCAGCATGCAGGGCAGCCTGGAGCCGCTGGGCGGGGGCCGGGTGCCCGCGGGGCCAGGGGACAGCCAGGCCGCGGCCGAACTGCAGGAGCTGGCCCTGAGGTGGTTCATGGAGACGCAGGCCCCCCTCGTCCTGCAGGACGGAGCCCTGCCCCCCTGGTTCCACGGATTCATCACCCGAAAGTAAGAGCAGGTACCCCCCCCCCTCCGCCCCGTCCCCCCGTCCACATGCCCCAGCCTGGCCCACAGCCCTTTGGGGAGGAAGAGAGGGCCTGGGGCCTTTAGGACAAACCTGGTTCCCACTTTCTCCCTGGGCTGGGCAGGGACCCCGGGAAGCTGTGGGCAGGCGAGCAGACTGGGGGGTACCCCGTTCCCTGGGGCACTGGCCCCCGTTCTGCACACAGACTGGGTCCCGGACAGGCAGCAGGGGCATGATGGCTCTAAAGAACTTGATGAGCCAGGCTGGTGTGGCCCAGTGGTTAAAGCGGCTGCCTATGGACCAGGAGGTCAGGGTTCGGTTCCCGGTCGGGGCACAGGCCCGGGTCGTGGGCTCCATCCCCAGTGGGGGGCGTGCAGGAGGCAGCCGATCCGTGATTCTCTCTCATCGTGGATGTTTCTCTCTCTCTCTCCCTCCCTCTCTGAAATCAATAAAAATATGTGTTGTTGGGTGTTTTGTTTGGTTTTTAAACATCTGGGGGCCTGTCACACTCCTCATTTAGGCCGAGCGCGTTGTTAGTGACGAGGCAACCGCTGTTTTCAGCGGGGGACTGTCCCAGGCAAACCTGGGGGTCCAGACACCCCAGAAACAAGGGCCAAGTCCTGCCGGCGTGGCTCAGGGGTTGAGCGTTGACCCCTGACCCAGGAATCAGGGATCGGCTGCCTCCCGCCCGGGTTGCACAGGCTCGGACGGAGGTCTGTGCCCCCGGGGGCCGGCCGGGGCCTCTCAGGGGCGGGGAGGGCACGGGCCCCGCTCATGGCGTGCCCCCCGCCCAGGCAGGCGGAGCAGCGGCTCGGGGACCAAGCTGTCGGCTCCTTCCTCGTCCGCCTCAGTGACCGGACCACCGGCTACATCCTGTCCTACAGGTAAGAGAGGAAGCCTGTGTGGGCGTGGGGGGGGGACTGGGGGGCTTGTGGGGGGACCCAGGCTCGGGCTCCATAACCCAGCCTTGCAGGTGAGCGCTGGCCTGGGGGTCCCCCGTCCCTCGCTCCCTGGCCCCATAGCAGCGATGGCGAACCTCTGACACGGTGTCAGAGGTGACACGCGAACTCATTTTTTTGGTCGATTTTTCTTGGTTAACTGGCATTTGAGTACATAAAACAAATATCAGAAATATACATCTTTGCGTGACTCTGGTTGCAAAGATCAAAACATTTCCCTAGGTGACACGGCACCAGAGTTACGTTAGGGTTTTTCAAAATGCGGACACGCCGGTCGGAAGGTTCACCGTCGCTGGGCGAGGATGAGGCTCCAGCCGGGAAGCGGGGGGTGGGGCAGGGGGAACTCCCCCTGGAGGGCGGCGGGAGGTTCGAGGGGAGCTCTGAGCCCAGGGTAGAAGGAAGAACAGCAAGTTTCCCCTTTTTCTTTTCTTTTTCTTTTTTAAAAATATATTTGTATTGATTTCAGAGAGGAAGGGAGAGGGATAGAGGCTTAGAAACATCGATGAGAGAGAAACATCGATCAGCTGCCTCCTGCACGCCCCCTACTGGGGATGTGCCCGCAACCAAGGTACATGTCCTTGACTGGAATCGAACCCAGGACCCTCCTGTCCGCAGGCCGACGCTCTATCCACTGAGCCACACCGGCCATGCGTCACCCTTTAAACGCTGCACCCACTATGTGCCTCCCTCCTGCCCCGTGTCCCTGCGCCCCCTGACGCCCCGGGGCAGGCTTTGTGCCTCCCGGGACCCTGGCTCCCGACCCTGCACACCCACCCACATGGGACACACCGCCCGCCCCAGGCCCACGGCCCGAGGGGGTGTCAGCCGCCTGTCCTGTTGCAGGGGCAGCGACCGGTGCCGGCACTTTGTCATCTCTCAGCTCCCCAACCGGCGCTACCTGGTCTCGGGGGACACGCACAGCCACCGCAGCCTGGCCGCGCTGCTGCACCACCACCAGGAGGCGCCGTTTGAGCCCTTCGGGGAGACCCTGGCCGCGGCCTGTGCCCGGGTAGGCGCCCCTCTCTCCGGGGGTAAGGGTGCGGGGGAGGGGGTGTTGCCCAGGCCTGGGGTGCCCCCCACTCTCTCCCGGCTGTACACATGCCTTTTCCTCCCTTTTTCCTGCCGGTGGGGGCTCTCCGCCCGCACCCACGGGCCCTACGAACGTGGTTATTTTTTATTAATCCTCACCTGAGGATATTTCCATTGATTTTTTTAAAAAAGTTTATCTTTATTTAATTTTTTTTAATGAAAGAGTTGGTCTAATGTCTGTCCTTCATGTTTTTTTTTTTTTTAATACATTTTTATTGATGTCAGAGAGGAAGGGAGAGGGAGAGAGAGAAACATCCATGGTGAGAGAGAATCACGAATTGGCCGCCTCCTGCACGCCCCCCACTGGGGATGGAGCCCGCAACCCGGGCCTGTGCCCTTGACCGGAATCGAACCCGGGACCCCTCAGTCCACAGGCTGGCGCTCTATCCACTGAGCCACACCGGCCAGGCCCATTGATTTTTAGAGGGAGAGTGGGAGGGAAGGGGAGAGACCGAGAGAGAAACATCGATGTGAGAGAGACTCATGCATTGGTTGCCTCCCACATGCACCCTGACCAGGGCCCGGGATGGAGCCTGCAACCCAGGCGTGTGCCCTTGAGCGGAATCGAACCCGGGACCCTTCAGTCTGAGGGCTGATGCTCTGTCCACTGAGCCACACCGGCCAGGGCCCATGGTCCCTAGTTGCAAAGGGGCGCCTGAGGCAGTGCCTCCCCACGCTCAGGGACGGGGGGGGGGGGGGGGTCATGTCCCAGGCCCTGGCCGCAGTCCCTGTGCGACACCCCCTGCCCCGTGTCCCCCGCCCCCAGCCGCAGGACGAGGACCCCTACGACGCCATCACCCTGGGCCTCCACCGGGACCCCCCGGGCCTGGGAGACGCACCTGCCGGACCGTCCCCCTGGGGGGCCCCAGACCAGGCCGGCAGCCCCCGCCCCCCGCCCAGGCCTCGGGACCCCTTCCTCCACGCGGAGTGGAGCCCGGAGGTGGGTCCCTGGCGCGGGGTGGGGAGGGTGCTGGGCTGCTGGCCGGGAAGGCGGGGCCACCCTGGCCGGCCCTCAGGCTGCGAGGGGTGAGCCCGGCTCAGAGGAGGGGCCGCGGGCTGGGGCGGTGGCTGCCTCTGCGGCCTCACCTCTCTGAGCCTTGGGTCACCTACCCTTCCTGGGGGCCCACCCCCCCCGCTGGCCACACCCCGGGAGCTCACCACCTGCTGCTGCTGCAGGAATGGAGGACGATGCTGGGCGGGGGGGGGGGGGGGGGGGGGGGCAGGGAGTGGGGGTGCAGGGTGCTGGGGGGGAGCAGGGGACCACCCTGGAGGCAGGATGAGCTTGGATGGGAGGGAAGCCTGGTGACCCCGACTTTGAAGACTGTGCTCAGGGTCCCATGTGGCCGCTGGCTGGGTCCGGAGCCCATGCAACCAGCCCTGGGCGCAGGTCGGGGAAACTGAGGCCGGGGTGGGGTGCGGTGGGGTGGGGCAGGGGGGCTCGGCTCATCCCAGAGCCTCAGTTTCCCCGCCGGCCTCGGAGCCGCGGGCGACCTCTACGGGGTCCTCTGTCCCTCGCTCCCCAGCCCCCCGGCCGGGTGCCCCCCGTGCCTGAGAGGAGGGCCTCGCTCCCGGACCCGTCGGATGGGGGCTCCCGCGACACGGTCTACGCGGAACTGAGGAGACTGACGCCCGCGGGCAGCCAGGCCTGCGCCCCAGACGCGGGGGCCCAGAGGCGAGGCCGGGACGGAGGCCAGCACAGGCCGGCTGGCCGGGGGCCGCCCCTCTCCCCGGGGACCCCAGCTCCCAGCCCCGCGGCACCTCCGGCTCCCTGGGGCCGCCTCCTGCCGCCCGAGGCTCCGGGACCCTCAGCTGCCCCCTGGAGCCAGGGGTCCCCGCGGCCCAGCCCCCGGGCCCGGCCCAGCTCCCCCGACACCTACAGGCTCAGCAGGACGGCGGGCTCCCTGGGGGAGGAGGGGGGCGACGAGCCGGCCGGGGGAGGGGGCAGCGTCTACGAGCAGATCCCAGGCTGCTGGGGCGGCCCCGCCAGGCCCCCGGGTCCCGGGGCGGGTCTCACGCCCGGCAGGCTGTGGGCGCCCACAGACTGGGGCCGCGAGAGGATCCCGGGGGCCCCCGAGGCCAGGAGCCCCTGTGAGCAAAGCCCAGCGGCCACGAGCTCGGACGCCGGGCGGACACACAAGGTGGGTTCCGTGGGGGGGCCGGGTGCCCTCGGGGAGCAGCTGGTGGGAAGGGGACCCTCCCTGCCTTCCCCTCTCTCTCTCTCTCTCTCTCTCTCTCTCTCTCTCTCTCTCTCTCTCTCTCTCTTCCTTCCCTGTTAATCCTCACCCCAGCATATTTTTTCCATGGATTTTTAGAGAGAGAGAGAGTGGAAGGAACAGAGAGAGACAGAGAGAGAAACGTCGACGTGAGAGAGACACACCTATCGGCTGCCTCCCGCACGCACCCCGCACCCCGACAAGGGCCGGGGATGGAGCCAGTGATGGAGGGACGTGCCCTTTTGACCGGAATCAAACCCGGGACCCTTCAGTCCGCGGGCTGATGCTCAACCACGGAGCCACGCCGGCCGGGTGGGCATCCTCATTCAGCAACCCTCCCTGGGACCTGAGTTCCCTCAGCTACGGGAGGGGGTGTCCCCAGGGGCAGCACATAGAGCAGCGATTTGCAACTGGGGTGCCATGGGAATTTTTAGAACACTGGAGGCCCGGTGCATGGATTCATGCACCTGTGGGGTCCCTCGGCCGAGCCTGCGGGGATCGGGCTGAAACCGACTCTCCGACATCCCCCGAGGGGTCCCGGATTGTGAGAGGGCGGATCTCGGGTGACGCACCCCGGAATCGGGCTCCCTCCTCTCTGGTTCTGGGTTCATCACCCGAGAACCGCAGCTGCCAAGTCACTGCAGCTCAGCAGCTCCTGTGTGGAGCGTCTGCCCCCTGGTGGTCAGTGCACATCATGGCAGCTCCTGTGTGGAGCGTCTGCCCCCTGGTGGTCAGTGCACATCATGGCAGCTCCTGTGTGGAGCGTCTGCCCCCTGGTGGTCAGTGCACATCATGGCTGCCGGTTGGAGCGTCTGCCCCCTGGTGGTCAGTGCACATCATGGCTGCTCCTGTGTGGAGCGTCTGCCCCCTGATGGTCAGTGCACATCATGGCAGCTCCTGTGTGGAGCGTCTGCCCCCTGGTGGTCAGTGCACATCATGGCTGCTCCTGTGTGGAGCGTCTGCCCCCTGGTGGTCAGTGCACATCATGGCTGCTCCTGTGTGGAGCGTCTGCCCCCTGATGGTCAGTGCACATCATGGCAGCTCCTGTGTGGAGCGTCTGCCCCCTGGTGGTCAGTGCACATCATGGCTGCCGGTTGGAGTGGCTGCCCCCTGGTGGTCATTGTGTGTCGTAGCTACTGGCCAGTCAGCAGGTAGCTTAGGCTTTTATATACACAGATGCTCTACCTGACTTTTTGGTCAGGGGCACTGACCTCTTTTCCCTTAGATTGTCAAAGGAAAAAAGAAAAATGACAACAGCTTGCGCGGCCGGCGTGGCTCCGTGGTTGAGCCTCAACCTATGAACCCAGAAGTCAGGGTTTGAGTCCCCGTCAGGGCACAGGCCCGGGTTGTGGGCTCGATCCCCAGTGTGGGGTTTGCAGGAGGCAGCCGGTCCATGATTCTCTCTCATCATGGATGTTGTTCTCTCTCTCCCTCTCCCTTCCTCTCTAAAAATCAATAAGAATATGTATTTTTAAAAAAGATCAGCCAACACAATAGCCATCTGGTATGAACGAATCAAAGTTTTACCTATTTTTGGGGTCAGATTGGCAAAAAATATGCTTTTTGCTGTGCCAGATGTAGCAAGACAGATTACAGATTCCAGGCCGACCCTGCAGCCCCCTACCCCCTCCTACCCCCCCTCACGCCCTCCCCCTGCACTGAGGGCTGGTGGCGGAGCTCCCGCGGGGAAGGGCCTGACCCCGCCCCCGGCCCAGCCCAGGCTGCGTGTGACCCTCGGAGGGGGGGGGGGCCCTGGGTGTGCCCTCCCCATCCCGGACCCTGGCTCAGCATCTCCTCCCTCCTTGCAGCCCGACAAGTACCGGCGGTTCTTCTTTGCGGACAAGAAGCCCAGAACCTGAGACCAGGCCTTCGACCGCCCCCGCTCTGGGTCTCCCGGTCCCCGAGCCAGGCCAGGGTCCCCCGGGCGGCCCTCAGCCACCCCCCCCCCGCCCCGGCCTGTGAGGGAGCCAGGCTCAGAGACACACCTGCCAGCCACCTGCAGCTACGTCCTCTCTCCCAGGGCCGCCCACCCGTCCAGAGGAGACCAGCCCTGGCCAGTGTGGCTCAGTGGGTAGAGCGTCGCCTGCGGACCAAAGGGTCCCGGGTTCGATTCCGGTCAAGGGCACGGACCTCGGTGGCAGGCTCCTCCCCGGCCTGGGCCCTGGTCGGGGCGCGTGCAGGAGGCAACCCATCGATGTTTCTCTCTCTCCTCCCTTCCTCTCTGAAATCAATAAAAAGTATATTTAAAAAAAGAAATGGGAGTTGTCGGGACTGAGCACGGCCACCAGCCGGTGCCTGGCGCACGATGAGCGCCGTCCGTGTCCATGGCAACCACTGTCACCTGAGGGAAACAGACACGATCCTCACCGAGCATCCGCCCCGCATGGGGCTCCCCTGATGATCGGGGGGAGGGTGCGCCCTCCTCCCGCAGACCCGGGCGCTGAACCCGGCTCACGGGGGAAAGCAGGGCCAGCCCGGGGTGAGGGCCCACGGGGGGAGGATCGAGGGTGAGGAGGGGGCGACGTGGACGCTGACCAGACGGCAGACACAGACCAGACGGCGGGGACGGGAAAGCCTTTTACTCTCAGTTCACAGACCTGTGGGCAGCGCACGCCCGTGCGGACGCCATGCGGGTGGGAAGGGCGGACACCCGGCTGGGGCCCTGGGGCCCACGGTTCCCACGGCTTCACCCGGGGAAGGGCGGGGGGGGGGGGGGCGTGGGGCGGCGAGACGGGGCGGGCAGGGCGGGCGGCAGCCCAGCGTGGGGTTCGAGAAAGATTGCATAGTTCGTGGAAATTTCATCCTCGCCCGGCCGGCCGGCGTGGCTCCGTGGCTGAGCGTGGACCGAGGAACCAGGAGGTCAGGGTTCGATTCCCGGTCAGGGCACAGGCCCGGGTGGCGGGCTCCATCCCCAGTGGGGGGCGTGCGGGAGGCGGCCGGTCCATGATTCTCTCCCATCATCGATGCTTCTCTCTCTCTCCCTCTCCCTTCCTCTCTGACATCAATACAAATATATTAAAAAAAAAAATCTCATGCTCTTCTCCCCGCTTTGCCCCGGGTACCCCGGGCGTGTGTTTCTAGCACGCAGACTGGTTGGTCCCCGCCCCCCAGGTGCCCGGCCTGCCCCTGGGGGGCATTTCTACGGGGAGGGGGCGGGGAACCAGGCACACGGGGGTGGGGGGCAGAGGGAGGGCCTGTGAGGGGCCGGCCATGGGGCTGGGCCGGACCACAGGGGCCTGGGGAGCCCTGCCCCTTCCCTCCTCCCGCCCCTTCCCCGTGGAGGGTTTTTTGCTGAAAGGGCCGAGGACATGTCGGTGGGGGTCAGCCCCCGAGGCTGCAGCTCCCGTCCTGGTCCTGGGAGGTCAGAGCTGTGCAGACAGCAGAGGTGGACGGCGGCGGGCGGCGGGCCCGGAGCTCGGCCGCGTCCTCAGATCCGGACGTGGAAGGTGCTGGAGAGACAGACAAGGGCGGGAGAGGGTGAGGCCTGCGCTGGGGGGGAGGGTCCTGGGCTGGGGGGGAGGCTGAAGGCTGGCCGTGTCCGGGGCCCACCCCATCACCACAGGCCCCAGGTCCCCATTCTTCCTGGGGGAGCTGGCCCTGTGGGGAGGGTGGGCCAGGCTGGGGGTGAGCTCCCGCCTCCCGGCCACTGGGCCTGCGGGCACCGTGGGTTTTTGCTGTTGTTTCTGAGCCAATTCCTTGATTTTATTTTTATTTACTTATTTTCTGCTAACCCTCACTGTGGCTTACAATTCAATGCATCTTTATATCTGCTTCTGCTATTTCCTATTTATTTCCTTTTTTTCTTCAATTTTCCTTTATTCTTCCTTATCTTACCAGGTGCACTTAAAATGAGCTGGTCTTATTTATTTTTTAAAAAATGTTCTGTTCATCCTCACCTAAGGACAATTTTCTATTTATTTTTAGAGAGAGTGGAAGGGAGGGGGGAGAGACAGAGAGAGAGAGAGAAATATCGATGTGAGAGAGACACATCGCTGGGCTGCCTCCCGCACGCGCCCCGACCAGGGCCGGGGACCGAGCCCGCAACCCCGGTAACGTGCCCTTGACCGGAATCGAACCCGGGACCCTTTGGTCCGCGGGCCGACGCTCTACCCACTGAGCCACACCGGCCGGGCGCGGACACCGCCATGGCCATGAGCGGTGGCAGGGCCTGGGCCCCGGCCCTGGGAGGCAGGTCCCCAGGCGCAGCCCGCGCCCCCCCCCCGGTCCCCCACCCGGGGGGCACCTGAGGAAGTCGGGCGCCTTGGCGATCATGTCCTCGAAGTCGGAGAGGCCCAGCTTGCCGTCGCCGTCCAGGTCGGCCTCCTCGATGACCTTGTCGCACACCAGCACCACCTCGTCCTCCTCCAGCTCCGACTTGGTCAGCCGGGCCAGCGTCATCTCCAGGTCCTCCTTGCAGATGAAGTTGTCCGTGTTGAAGTCTGGGGGGGAGAAGGGGGTGCTCAGACGAGGGCCGGCCACCCCGAGCACCTCCCCCAGCCTCTCCGCGAACAGGACGGGGACCCCGGGTCCCTGTCCCCAAATGGGGGGGGCGAGAGCAAGGGGCTCGCCCACGGGCAGCTCTGTACCCCCCTGCGGCCCTGCAGCCCCACAGACACCCACAGCGGCCGAGACACGTCAAACGGCCACACCTGAGCCCGGCCAGTGTGGCTCAGTGGTTGAGCGTGGACCTAGGAACCAGGAGGTCAGGGTTCGATTCCCGGTCAGGGCATGGGCCCGGGGTGCGGGCTCGGTCCCCGGTGTGGGGTGTGCAGGAGGCAGCTGGTCCGTGATTCTCTCTCATCATGGATGTTTCTCTCTCTCCCTCTCCCTTCCTCTCTGATGTCAATGACAATAAAAGGTGGCCGGGGACAGGTCTGCGCGTGGGCATCAGCCCCTCCCTGGGCCTCGGGGTCCCCCCAACCCCCTGTCTGAGGACACACCAAGGCACCGGCGTGTCCTGGGCTGGGCGGTGCACAGCGCCCCCTGGTGGCCGGTGGGGACAGAATGGAGAGCTGGGCCGGCCTCACCCCTGCAGCCTGGCCCCCGGCAGCTCACCACCCCGCGGGCTCGTTACCGTAGATCTTGAAGGCGTAGTTGGCCTTGAGGTCGCGGGGCGCCGACTCGCAGAGCACGGAGAACATGTCCACGAAGTCGTCGAAGGTGAGGTTGCCCTCTCCGTCCTCTGAGAAGGACTCCACGATCCGCTCCTTGAAGGGGTTCTCCTGGGGGGGGCACCCGGTCATGGGGGGGTCGCCCGGGAGGACCCCAGGCCACACAGCTCACAGCCCACGGGACCCTGGAGGGTGGCTGAGCCCCCCTGGACCTCGGTCTCCCCATCACCCTGGACCTCGGTCTCCCCATCACCCTGGACCTCGGTCTCCCCATCACCCAGGGCCTCGGTCTCCCCATCACCCCTGGGCCTCGGTCTCCCCATCACCCAGGGCCTCGGTCTCCCCATCACCCTGGACCTCGGTCTCCCCATCACCCAGGGCCTCGGTCTCCCCATCACCCCTGGGCCTCGGTCTCCCCATCACCCAGGGCCTCGGTCTCCCCATCACCCAGGGCCTCGGTCTCCCCATCACCCTGGACCTCGGTCTCCCCATCACCCAGGGCCTCGGTCTCCCCATCACCCAGGGCCTCAGTCTCCCCATCACCCAGGGCCTCTGTCTCCCCATCACCCAGGGCCTCAGTGTCCCCATCACACCCTGGGCCTCGGTGTCCCCAGCGCCCACCCGGCTGGGCCGTGACAGGCGTGCGTGGCTCGAGCATGGGCGGTGCACCAGGCCGGCTCCTGGCCGAGCTCGCCCTGACCGCACGTCACACTGTGGCATTCGGGGAGCACCGGGCGCCCTTCCCGGAGTGGCTCAGCGGTTAGAGCGTCGGCCTGGGCACCCAAGGGTTGCAGGTTCGACTCCGGTCAAGGGCACAAGCCTGGGTTGGGGGTTTGATCCCCAGCTGTGGGAGTCTGGGAGGCAACCGATTGATGTGTCTCTCTCACATGGCTGTTTCTCGCTCTTCCGCTCCCTTCCACTCTCTCTAAAAAAATCATTGGAAAAACATCCTTCAGTGAGGATTAAAAAAGGAAGAAAGAAGGAATGAATGGAGCCCGGCCGGCGCAGCTCAGTGGTGAGCGTCGACCTACGAACCAGGAGGTCAGGGTTCGATTCCCGGTCGGGGCACAGGCCCGGGTGGCGGGCTGGATCCCCAGTGGGGGGCGTGCAGGAGGCGGCCGGTCCGTGATTCTCTCTCAGCATGGATGCTTCTATCTCTCTCCCTCTTTTTCTCTCTGAAATCAATAAAAAAAATATATATTTTTAAAAAATCAATGGGAATAAATACCCTTGGGTGAGGATGAACAAAATAAAACCCCCAAAACAAAGAAACAAACAGAAAGGGCTGAGCAGAGGCGAGGCCGGGGCAGGGGCGGCCTCCTGCCGTGACGTGTGAGGCCGGACGCCACCCTCGGGTGTGGGCAGCCGTCCGTCCGTCCGCTCAGCCTGGGTCGGGCCGGCCCAGCAGGAGGCGGAAGAGGGGCAAGTGGGCGGGACGAGCAGGACGGTCAGAGCCCGTCAGGCCCGGGCTGGCCATCGCCCGGCGGCTGGAACGCTCCCAGCCGGGGCAGGGGCCGCCGCCGCCTTCCTCCGGTCCCGGCCACTCAGGGCCGCCCGCCCGGAGGCTCAGGGACAGCCTCGGGGCTCCCGCCCCCGTGGCCTCCTCCAGGGACCCCGACCCCGGGCTCCGTGCCCGCTCCAGCCAGGCGGGGCGCCTGCCCAGGGCCGAGACGGCCGGCCGCGCTGCCCCTCGGGACGGAGGTCACAGCTGGGACACAGGCCGAGGCTGCGAGGGGCGGTCCGACAGGCCCCCTGGGCCCCAAGGCGTCCTCGTTGGTGGAGGGCAGGCACGTCGGGGGTGAAGGAGGCACGGATGGAACTTTTTTATTTTTTTGCTGTTTTCTTAGTCCTCACTGGAGGGTATTCTTCTTTTCTGTTTTAAATGAAGCTTTTAATATAATTTTATTGGTTTCAGAGAGGAAGGGAGAGGGAGAGAGAGAGACATCCATGAGGAGAGAGAATCACGGGTCGGCTGCCTCCTGCACGCCCCCCACTGGGGACGGAGTCCGCAACCCGGGCCTGTGCCCTGAGTGGGAATCGAACCTGGGACCCTTCAGTCTGCAGGCCGACGCTCTATCCACTGAGCCACACCGGCTGGGGCTGGATGACACTTTTTTTTTTTTTAATATATTTTATTGATTTTTCACAGAGAGGAAGGGAGAGAGATAGGGAGTCAGAAACATCGATGAGAGAGAAACATCGATCAGCTGCCTCCTGCACACCCCCCACTGGGGATGTGCCCGCAACCAAGGTACATGCCCTTGACCGGAATCGAACCTGGGACCTTTCAGTCCGCAGGCCGACGCTCTATCCACTGAGCCACACCGGCCGGGGCTGGGTGACACTTTATGTCAAACGCAGATGTGGTCTGAGGACCAGAGGCATCAGCCCGCCCGGGAGCTTGTTAGGAAAACACAACTTTGGCCCTGACTGGGGTGCTCACTGGTTAGAACGCTGACCCTCAGACCAAAGGGTTATAGGCTTTTTTTTGTTTTTGTTTTAATTTTTTAAAAAAATTTTTATTGCTTTCAGAGAGGAAGAGAGAGGGAGAAACAGATAGACACATCCATGACGAGAGAGAATCATGGACCGGCTGCCTCCTGCACGCCCCGCACTGGGGATGGAGCCCGCAACCTGGGCATGTGCCCTGAGCGGGAATCGAACCCGGGATTGTTCAGTCCGCAGGCCGATGCTCTATCCACTGAGCCACACCGGCCAGGGCAAGGGTTGTGGTTTTGATTGCCAGTCGCGGGCATGTACCTGGGCTGCAGGTCTGACCCCCCCACCCCAGTCGGGGCACGTGCGGGAGGCAACTAATCAATGTCTGTGTGTGTGTGTGTGTGTGTGTCCCTCTCTCTGCCTCTCGCCCTCCCTCCCAACTCTCTCTAAAAAAATCAACGGAAAAAATCTCCTGGATGAGGATGAACCAAAAGAAACAAACTAAAGCCACAGCCTTGGGGCCCCCCGACCTCCTGAGCCCCAGCCGGCATTTTCCCACGACCCCCACCCAGGTGGCGCCTTTGCAAGTTAAAAATCTGGGAGCGATGCTGGGGATGAGCCGGCAGGGAGAGGCCACAGCCAGGCGAGGAGGGGAGAGAAAACTCATCTAAGAAAGCGGGCGTGGCCTGGCCGCCGGGGCTCAGGGGCTGAGCGTCGACCCAGGAGCCAGGAGGTCAGGGTTCGATTCCCGGGCAGGGCACAGGCCCGGGTTGTGGGCTCCATCCCCAGTGGGGGGCGTGCAGGAGGCAGCCGATCCATGATTCTCTCTCATCATGGATCTCTCTCTCTCTCTCTCTCTCTCTCTCTCTCTCTCCCTTAAATCAATTTAAATATATTTAGCACGGTGTGGCTCAGTGGATAGCGCATCGGCCTGCGGACTGAAGGGGCCCGGGTTTGAATCCGGTCAAGGGCATGGACCTGGGTTGCAGGCACATCCCCAGTGCGGGGTGTGCAGGAGGCAGCTGATCGATGTTTCTCTCTCATCGATGTTTCTAACTCTCTATCCCTCTCCCTTTCTCTCTGTAAAAAATCAATAAAATATATTTAAAAAATAGCCCTGGCCGGTTTGGCTCAGTGGATAGAGCCTCCGCCTGCGGACTGAAGGGTCCCGGGTTCCATTCCGGTCAAGGGCACGAACCTTGGTTGCAGGCTCCTCCCCGGCCCGGGCCCTGGTCGGGGCGCGTGCAGGAGGCAACCCATCGACGTGTCTCTCTCTTTCCCTCTCTCTTCCACTCTCTCTAAGAATCAATGGGAAAATATCCTCGGATGAGGACGAACAAAAATAAATTAAAATGAAAATAAAATGAAAAAGCAGACGGAAGGGCCGTGAATCACCGAGCCCCGCAGGCCTGGGCAGCGAGGTGGGGGCGGGGGGGGGCCATGACAGCCTCCCGGAGCCCCGCACGCAGCTCGCTGGCTCACAGGGCAGCGGGGAAACCGAGGCACAGAGAGGCGACGCGTGGGGCCCGCTCGGAGGGGCAGGGTCCCTGTGCCCCGCCCGCCCGTCCCCCCCTTCCTGCTGCCCCCGAGGCTCCCCCTGCTCCACCCGAGGCAGCGGCCGCCCTCACCTACCCGGAGCTCGGGCATCTGGATGATCAGGCTCATGGGCACGTGGACGATGGGGCTCTTCCGGTAGTCCATGGGGACCAGGTTGGGGGCCAGCTCGTAGAACCGCGCGTGCAGCCTGGGGGGGCGGGGGGAGGAGGCGCTGCAGGGGGGTGACCCAGTCCCCAGGCCCGGGCGCCGGCCCTGGGTGGTTTAGCGACAGCAACTCAAAAGCTTTAAAAGTCTATCCCTCCAGCCCGGCCGGTGTGGCTCAGTGGTTGGCCCTTGGACCGAAGGGTCCCGGGTTCGATTTCCGGTCAAGGGCACGTCAGGGCACGTGCAGGAGGCAGCCCATCGATGGGTCTCTCTCACATCGATGTTTCTCTCTGTCTCTCCCTCTCTCTCCCACTCTCTCTAAGAATCAGTGGGAAAATATCCTCAGGTGAGGATTAACAACAAAAGGGGTGTGTGTGTGTGTGACATCTGTAAAACTTTCAACAATAAAGATAAAGTTTTAAAAAGGAAAAGATTGGGGAAAATAAGCGACACTAAAGTCACAGCCAGGCGAAGGCCCCGGGTCTGCTGGCCGGTGGGCCTGTGTGTGCCGGCTGATATGAGGCGCAGCCTGACTGGGGGCGCTGGGCTCTCGCCACAGGAACAGAGGTGGCTGATGGGGGGCTGCCCACTCGGGGTCAGTGGGGGAGGAAGGGCTGTGCCCAGGGAGCAACCAGATCCAGCTGGCGGGGGCCGGGGCGCGCGGGGGCGGCGGGGGGGGGGGGGGTTTGGGGAGGGGAGAGGCGAGTGGGGGAGACGTCAGATGATGGTTATCTGTGAGCCTGACTCCGTATCACTGAGCTGGGCCCCAGGCTGCAAAGAAAACCTACAGCTCACCTTTCCTCCCTGCTGCCTGGGCAGTGCTCAGTGCAGCTCAGACACCCTTCTGGGTGGGGCGGGAGGGGGTGCAGGGAGGTGGGAGGGTGGAGGGAGGGGGGTGGGGGTGGAGGGGGCAGAGGGAGGTGGGAGGGTGGAGGGAGGGGGTGGGGGTGGAGGGAGGTGAAGGGGAGTTGGAGGAGGTGGAGGGAGGCGGGAGGGGTGGAGGGGGCAGGAAGAGATGGAGGGGGGAGGAGGTGGAGAGGGCAGAGGGAGGTGGGAGGGCTTGGAGGGGGTGAAGGGGGATAGGAGGGCTTGGAGGGAGGGGGGTGGGGGTGGCAGCCCTGGGTGGCCCCTGGGAGCAGGTCTGAGGCCTCTGGGTCTGGGCCCATTTATCAAACTCCACACCCTGGTGTTCCTGCCTGTCAGCAGTGCTCTGAGGGTGGGATCATGGTCCCCATTTTAATTTTTAAATATATTTTTACTGATTTCAGAAAAAAAGGGAGAGAGGGAGAAACATCCATGATGAGAGAGCATCACTGACCGGCTGCCTCCTGCACGCCCCCCACTGGGGACCGAGCCCACAACCCGGGCCTGTGCCCCGACCGGAATCGAACCCTGACCTCCGGGTTCCCAGGCCGGCCCTCCACCCCTGAGCCCCGCCGGCCGGGCCTGGTCCCCGTTCCTTAGACGCACCGGAGGCTCAGATCGCGCCCAAGGCCCCGGAGCTGGGAAGCCGGAGTCGAGCCCCAGTGACGATGCCAAGACCTTTGCCCTTTGCCCTTTGCCCTGCCGTCCGAGGAGTGGACGAGGGGTGCCCGCGCCCACCCAGGGGACAGGGAGGAAGAGCTGCCTGGCCGCGCAGAGCAGAGCGGTCGGGGCCGACCGACCACCACAGCCTCTGGGACGCGGTGCCGGCTCCCGTCCGGCCTGCCCGCCCCCAGGGAACCTGATCCTGGGCCCCTGAGGCTCCTCCTGCCACCCGATCCCTCAGGCCGGCCGGGTTTCCTGGCATTCGATGCCTCCGCTCGCCGTCTGGTCCTGGGGCTCTGAGGCTCCCGCCCCTTCATCTCTCCGGTTCTAGGCCGAGCCTCCCTGCCCCCACAGAAAGGGGGATCGAGCCCGCAACCCGGGCCTGTGCCCTTGACCGCAGTCAAACCCGGGACCCTTCAGTCCGCAGGCCGACGCTCTCTCCACTGAGCCACACTGGCCAGGGCGGGGGTGGGAGGTTCTTGAGTTCACATCGCACTCGGCTCCCAACAGTGACAGGCCCTTCCCCGGCTCAGGGCTCAGGCCTCAGGCTGTGCGACCGACCGGCCCGCACGCACAGGGCGCCCCAGGCCCTGTCCAGCTCGGTCCCGGCTCCCAGGGGTGAGCAGAAGCCACACTCACTTGAGGATGTCTTTCTTATTGAAGAAGGTGCAGTCCTGTCGAGAAAACACAGTCAGTCAATTGTGTAGTCCTGGCTCCTCCTTCCTCAGCACCCCCCCCACCCCCCCACCCCCCCCCCACCCCCACCAGGGATGACCCCGTCAGCGCTGGGGCCAGGACAGTCAGATCACCGAGCCCCCCGCGGTCCGCAACCTAGCGGGTCCGGAAACCTCCTCCTGACGCCCTGGGCCTGACCCGGGGCCTGCCTGCAGGACAAGGGCTGTGCGGGGAGCACCGAGGGGCAGAGGGGGGCGCCGCGGGTCCGAGGGGCGCCCTGTGGGATCGGAGGGGCAGCGGCTGGGACACAGCTCAGGAGTGGGGACAGACGGGGCCACCCCACAGCGCAGCCCCTGAGCAGGAGCCTGGGGGAGCTGGGTGTCTGCGGGGCAGCTGGGTGTCTGCGGGGCAGCTGGGTGTCTGCGGGGGAGCTGGGTGTCTGCAGGGCAGCTGGGTGTCTGCGGGGGAGCTGGGTGTCTGCGGGGGAGCTGGGTGTCTGCAGGGGAGCTGGGTGTCTGCGGGGCAGCTGGGTGTCTGCGGGGCAGCTGGGTGTCTGCGGGGGAGCTGGGTGTCTGCGGGGGAGCTGGGTGTCTGCGGGGCAGCTGGGTGTCTGCGGGGAGCTGGGTGTCTGCGGGGCAGCAGGGAGCCTGGGGGAGCTGGGTGTCTGCGGGGCAGCAGGGAGCCTGGGGGAGCTGGGTGTCTGCGGGGGAGCTGGGTGTCTGCGGGGCAGCTGGGTGTCTGCGGGGGAGCTGGGTGTCTGAGGGGGAGCTGGGTGTCTGCGGGGGAGCTGGGTGTCTGCGGGGGAGCTGGGAGCCTGGGGCAGCTGGGTGTCTGAGGGGGAGCTGGGTGTCTGCGGGGGAGCTGGGTGTCTGAGGGGGAGCTGGGTGTCTGCGGGGGAGCTGGGTGTCTGCGGGGCAGCTGGGTGTCTGAGGGGGAGCTGGGTGTCTGCGGGGCAGCTGGGTGTCTGCGGGGGAGCTGGGTGTCTGCGGGGCAGCTGGGTGTCTGCGGGGCAGCAGGGAGCCTGGGGGAGCTGGGTGTCTGCGGGGCAGCTGGGTGTCTGCGGGGCAGCTGGGTGTCTGCGGGGGAGCTGGGTGTCTGCGGGGCAGCTGGGTGTCTGCGGGGTAGCTGGGTGTCTGCGGGGCAGCTGGGTGTCTGCGGGGGAGCTGGGTGTCTGAGGGGGAGCTGGGTGTCTGCGGGGAGCTGGGTGTCTGCGGGGGAGCTGGGTGTCTGCGGGGCAGCAGGGTGTCTGTGGGGCAGCATGGAGCCTGGGGGAGCTGGGTGTCTGCGGGGCAGCAGGGAGCCTGGGGCAGCTGGGTGTCTGCGGGGCAGCAGGGAGCCTGGGGCAGCTGGGTGTCTGCGGGGCAGCAGGGAGCCTGGGGGAGCTGGGTGTCTGCGGGGCAGCTGAAACCACAGGAATCCACGGGGTCACACAGGGAAGGTGACAGGGAGGAACTGGTGGCAACTGGACAGGGAAGGGCATCCATTATTTTCTTTCTTTTTTTTGTTCATCTTCACTGAGGATATTTTTCCATTCATTTTAGAGAGAGTGGAAGAGAGAGAGGGAGAGACAGAGAGAAACATCCATGTGAGAGAGACACATCCATGGGTTGCCTCCTGCATGAGCCCCGATCAGGGCCCGGGCCGGGGAGGAGCCAGCCACCGAGGTCCGTGCCCTTGACTGGAATCGAACCCGGGACCCTTTGGTCTGCAGGCCAAAAGAAAGAGAAAGGAGAGAGGGAAGGGGGAGGAAGAAAGGGGTGGGTGAGAAAAGAAGGGATTGTGGCAGAAGGGGTGGGAGGCTGGAGGGGCCGCTGGGAGGGTGGGCAAGGAAGTAGTGGGCAGCCCTTCAGCCTGATGAGACCAGGAGGCCGGGCCAGGGCCCTGGCTGGGGTCACAGGGCAGGGATCCCGGGGTGGGGGGCTGAGTTACAGGACTTGTTCTTCACAGAGGAGGTGGTGGCGGCCAGCAGAGGTGGAACCCCCAGAGGAGCAGCCTGGGGTCTGGGGGAAGCAGCCAGCAAGCTTTCTTTATTTATTTATTGACTTTAAAGTCTTCCTTTACATGAAAAAAAATATAAATAAATAAAGTCACCAGAAAAAAAAAAAAAAAATAAAGTCTTCTTTAAAAAAAAAAATGTATATATATATATTTTATTGATCTCAGAGAGGAAGGGAGAGAGAGAGAAACATCAATGAGAGAGAATCATGGATCGGCTGCCTCCCGCACGCTCCCCACTGGGGATCGAGCCCGCACCCGGGCATGTGCCCTTGACCAGGAATCGAATCGTGACCTCCTGGTTCATCGGTCAATGCTCAACCACTCAGCCACGCCCGCCAGGCCAGCCATGTTCTAGAGCAGCCGTGGGCAAACTACGGCCCGCGGGCTGGATCCGGCCCGTTTGAAATGAATAAAACTAAAAAAAAAAAAGACCGTACCCTCTTATGTAATGATGTTCACTTTGAATTTATATTAGTTCACACAAACACTCCATCCATGCTTTTGTTCCGGCCCTCCGGTCCAGTTTAAGAACCCACTGTGGCCCTCGAGTCAAAAAGTTTGCCCACCCCTGGTCTAGAGTGAGCATGTCAAACTCAAAGGCTAACGTGGGCCAAACAAATGAGGCATGCGGCCCCTCCGGCTGCGAGTCTGACATGCTTGCTCTAGCGTGTGAGGGGTCTAGGATCTGAGAGGCAGAGAAGTGGTCGGGGAAGAAACCTGGACCTGAGGGATCACGGGCACCGGGGGGCCGGGAGGGGGGCAGGAAACCCCCTCACAGTGTTCCCCACTTGGGGAGGCGGCGGCTAGAACTCGGGGTCACCCACAGACCACCCTTGGCGGGCCCGTGGCCGGCCGGAGAGTCCGAGGGAGGGACACGGGAGGCTCAGGTTTCTCGGGTCGGCGGGGTCCAGCCAGGCTCTGGCGAAGGAGCAGAACCCAACGCAGGGACTGGCTCCAAAGCGTCACCCAACGCCAGGCCGGTCTGAGCCGGGAACCTGGACTCCCCGCCCCCACGGGGCTACTCGTCACCCGTCAGCATGGCCTACCTGCTCACGGGTGCCCATCTGTGCCACGTCTGAGCGTTTACCCGAGCTGTGCCCTCCGCCCGGAACGCCTCCTGCGGGCCCCCGCTGGGCCTGCTCCGGCGCCGTCCAGAGTGACAGCCCCCTTCCCCACTGGTCTCCCACTCCCACTCGTGCCCTCCCCTGATCCAGAAGGAGCGCATGCAGCCCCCACCCCCAACGAAAAGAGTGAGTCCCATCCCTTGGGAGCCCCACCAGGCAGGGTCCTGAATGGCCCCTCGGCCTTTGTTTACCCATCTGTGAAATGGGCCCAGCCACCCACCCACCAGACAGACGGTGATCCAAGGCGCTGAGGGGTAAGCTCAGGAAGTACAGGGCCTGGTACAGCAGGTGCTGCATGAATGTGGGTCCCCCACTCCTTGTCAGGGCCTTAGGAGGGAGCTGGGAGATCTGTTCTTCACACACTGGGGCTCCCGGGAGGAGGGGGCCAGGGCCGCCCCAGACAGAGGACCTCCATTTTCGACACCAAAATGCATATTCCTGACGGGGAGGGCGGGCAGCATGTCCCCACAGCACAGGGCACGCAAGTGACAACCTAGTCAGGTCCTCTGCCTGGGATGCCAGGAGGAGACCCCCGGGAGAGGGAGGCACCCCAGGGCATGGGCATCTGCAGCTCAGACAGGTTTTGCATGAGTGGGAGGGCCCTGGGGACCCCAGCCCCCGAGGGAGGGGACCTGACAGGTCTAAGGGGCCTGCAGGGGGGCCCGGGGAGGGGACCATGGCAGGCTGGTACCTGCCTGGCCATCTCGCTCCATCATGCCCACACTGGGCCGGAGGAAGAGCCCCAGGTCATAAGCAAGACACCCCAACTCCCGATCGCCCTCGGAGGCCGCTGTCCCTGCCTCCGCACCCTGGCAGGACCCCGCTCGGCTCCCCTTCGGAGAGTCGCGGCCCTGCCAAGGTCACGCCTGGGGCGAAGGCAGAGGCCGGGTGGGACCGGGGTGGGGGGGGATCGGCGGCGACGGGGGCCGAGGGGGGCGGCGCGGGCTCACCTGGTAGTTGTCCAGCTGCTCCTCGGTGAAGATGGTCTGCTTGTTCCCCATGGTGCGCGGCCACCGGCCACCGGGCGCCGCCTCCTCCCGCGGCCGCCCGGCTCCTGGCGCATCCCGCCGCGCAGTCCCCTGGAGGGGCGTGGCCGGCCGAGGGGCGTGGCGTGGCCGGAGGACGGGCGGAACCAAGGGGCGGGGCCTAGAAACGGGGCGTGGCCGGAGGAATCAAGTGAAGGGGCGGGGCCTGCTGGCGAGGCGGGGCCGAGCGATAGGGCGGGCGAAGTCAAACAGCGGGGCGGGGTCTGCAGAGGGGCGTGGTCCCGGGGGGCGGATCACGATATGGGGCGTGGCCTGCGTTCGGGGCGGAAGGAGGGCTCCGGCTGGAGAGCCGACCGCCGGAAGAGGGCGCTGCTGGCAGGTCCGGCGACGGCAGCCGCAGGAGTGGGCGGGGCGAACCCGGCACTTCCGGGCGGGAGCGAGGTCAGGGCGCACACGCGGCTGCGGGGCTGATGTACACACTTTCGAGGGGTGCAGGGGGACAAGATGAGGGACCATGCGGCAGGGGGAGCCCTGACCTGTGGGCGCCCTTCGCGGAGTAGGAAGGGTCATTGCGGTTGACGCCGGAGGCCCCAGCAGACGCGGGGCAGGACATCTCCCTGCGCCTCTTAGCGGGGCGGACAGGATTTGCTCGCCTGTCTCTGAATCCTGGGACACGGGCATGAGACTTGGCACCGTTTAAAGGGCTCGCTGTGTCCGGAGACTTACTGTGCCAAAGGCCGGGGCGATGTCTGTGGCTTTTAAGCCAATGGCCTCACCGCCAAGTGCCTTTGAGGGGTCAGCCCACGTGTTCATTCTCACCCTCGGGACAGTCACTCTCAGGGGCCTCATCTCCACCCCGCAGATGAGGTCACTGCTTGGCAGCAGTGTAGTAACTTGCTCGGGGGCCCACTGGCTGGGCAGTGGCAACATGGCTGTGTTAGGGGCAGAAATAGAATTTTTGCATCCATTCTCATTCAAGAACTGCCTATGATCGTGGAAAGATTTAAACCACCTTGTTGCCCAAACAATGGAGTCCCACTCCAGCCTGCATTGCCTAGCTCCTCAAGCCTGGAATCCCTACGTCCCCATGTAATCTTGGTCCCTCTTCCCTATATAAGCAGCTGGCTTATGGGGGGTGGGGGGTTGCAGAGCAGGTTTTTGTGAAAGACCCCCCTCTCCCCCCGCCCAGCAAGATTGGAATAAATACTCATCTAGGATTCAACCCTGTGTCTGCTGAATTGGCTCGAGTAGTGGCAGGCAGCCCGGACCCATTTGGTTGTCCGTTTACAGCTGGACTCAAAGGTCACCTCCCCGCCCTTGGTTTGTATCGGACACGTCTGGTAAGGGCCTCGGTCATGGGAGAGGGAAGTCAGGGTGTGTGACCAGGAGTAAAGAGATCGTGGAGTTTTAGAGCAGAGACAGGCCATCTGCACATCACCGTTTTCCCAGGTGGGAGCAGGAGAAATCGAAACCTCTCCAAACCACGCAATTGCTTTTATACACGTTTTCCTTCTTCCCATCTCAGATTCCACACGCCTGTGAACAGGCCAGCACTGTGGGCAGAGCCTGCTCTGGCACATTCTTTTACAATCGCTAATCTCTGTTTCACGTGCATTCCAGCCGTCCAGGTAGAAAAGCCAGAATTTCTGCTGAAGACCTGAGTTTTCAGTTCTGGGAGTCCCTCCTCCCACAGGTGAGAAATAGAAGCAGCAACCTGACTAGACAATTCCCACAACGACCCCCCCCCCCTTTTTTTTTAAAAAATATATATTTTATTGATTTTTTACAGAGAGGAAGGGAGAGAGATAGAGAGTTAGAAACATCCATCAGCTGCCTCCTGCAAACCCCCTGCTGGAGATGTGCCCGCAACCAAGGTACATGCCCTTGACCGGAATCGAACCTGGGACCCTTCAGCCCACAGGCTGACACTCTATCCACTGAGCCAAACCAGTTAGGGCAACAAACCTTTTTTTTAAATTTTTTATTTTTATTGATTTCAGAGAGGAAGGGAGAAGGAGAGGGAGAGATAGAAACATCAATGATGAGAATCATTGGTTGGCTGCCTCCTGCACGCCTCCCACTGGGGATCGAGCCAGCAACCCTGGCATGTGCCCTTCGAACCCAGGACCCTTCAGTCCGCAGGCTGACTCTCTATCCACTGAGCCAAACTGGCCAGGGCAACAGACCCTTTTTGATTGCTATTGCCACTGCCCTGAATGAGGCCCGCCCTCTCTCTTGAACTGATACAACAATGCTGTGAGGATCAAGGGGTACAGTTCCCATGTGACCGAGGAGGAATCCTGGGCTCAGAGGGGCAAAGTGGCTTGCCCAGCGCCACCCACCTAGGAAGTAGCAAAGCAAGGCTCTGTTGCATTCTCCGATTCCCAAGATTCCCAATCACCCTCCCGTGGCTCCCAGATGTTGGGTGTGGCCCCTGACAAAGAAAGCGTGTATATTTGTTTGCAAGAAGGGTGGGCAGAGGGAAGAGACGCATGGATGACATGCCCTGTGCCCATGTACTGCAAGTTATTCCACAGACGCCTCTTAAGTCTATAGAGTTTGGGGTCATGATCTCATTTCACAGAGGAAGTAGTCTCAGAGACGGGGACTTGCCCAAGGTCACACGGCCCCTAATAGGTGGATTTAAATCTGGGCCCTGTCCAGGGCAGGGGGACGTGTGGTTACTTCTATAAGCATTGAGAATACAGCACAGCACAGAACAAAAGTAACTGCCCTCCTGGAATTTACCCCTGGGGGAGGAGACAAACAGTCAATAAATAAGTAAAATGTGAGATGTGCTAAGGAGAAATAAAGCAGGGGAGGGGGGCTAGACAATAGGGAGGAGGTGCTGCCATTTAAAATAGCCAGTTTGGCTCAGCGGATAGAGCGTCAGCCTGCCGCCTGAAAGGTCCCGGGTTCGATTCTGGTCAAGGGCACATGCCAAGGTTGTGGGCTGGATCCCCAGTGGGGGGTGTGCAGGAGGCAACCGATCCATGATTCTCTCTCATCATTGATGTTTCTCTCTCTCTCTTCCTTCCTCTCTGAAATAAATAAAAATATATTTAAAAAATAAAATTAAAATAAAATAGTGGCCCCAGCCTTTGGTTCAGTGCAAGGATCCCAGGTTCGATTCTGGTCAAGGACAGGAACCTTGGTTGCAGGCTTGATCCCCAGTAGGGGGTGAGCAGGAGGCAATCCATCCATTTATCTCTCACATCGATATTTCTCTCTCCCTCTCTCTTCCACTCTCTCTAAAAATCAATGGAAAAATATCCTCCGGTGAGGATTTAAAAAATAAAGAGATAAAAGGAGCGATCAGCCTGCGGAAGGCGCAGCGCCACGATCCTCCGTGGTGAGTCAATGAATGAAGGAGGAGTCGGGGCAGCCGCCCGGGAAGCCCCGAACTGCGCAGCTTCCGGGTCGCCGCGGCGTCACGTCACCGTGAGACGCGCCTGGCGATTGGCCAAGAGGAGGCGCGGAGAAACCCCCTGGGCGGGCTCGGGGGCGGGGCCTCCAGGGGGCGGGGCCCGGCGCGAGCTGGGGCGACTGCGCACTCGAGCTCGCCGTGCTGTCGCCGCGGTGAGAGGAGAGACGCGATGGCGGGGCCCGCGTGGATGTCCAAGGTGAGCGCGGGGCGGGCGGCGGCCGCGCGGGGCGGCGGGCCCGAGGCCGCGGGGGCTCCGTGGCCCGCGCGCGCGGCGCGGCGCGGCGCGGCGTGGCGTGTGGGCAGCCCGCGCTGGAGCGGGGGGATGACCAGGACGAGGGAGGGGCGCGGCCCTGCTCCCGCCGGTTCCCCCCAGGCCCGAGCCCCGGTCCTGCATCGGGCCGGACGGTCCGAGGCTGGGCCGGCTCCGCGCCGACGGCCGGGCCTCCGGGGTCCGCTGGGCGAGGCCGGGGTCACCTCGCGGGCCGCGGGCGCCGGGCAGGGAAGGTCCCGTGGGGAGCCCCGGGCCGCTTCCTGCCAGGTCTCCCTGCCCCCCCGCCCGGCTCTCCCGGGTCTGCCCCGCGGCTGCGTCCCCTCCGAAGGACACGGGCGCCCTGCGCCTTGGGGTTCCCACCTGGACCCTCGTAGAGGGAAGCCAGCAGCTCCGCACCATTTTGGGGGAGAACCCGCGACCTGGAGCGTCGGCGCTCCTGACAGCTGGGATGCCTGGGCCGGGCGGGGCTCCCACCATCCCGGCGGCGGCTGCTGGGCTCCTGGGTGGCGCTCGCCAACCCGCGCCGTTAGAGGTCATCCTCAAGGTCACGCAGGAAGTCAGTGTCGGGAGGGGAGAGGATCCCGGGCTCCCCAGGCGGCGGGGTGTCCCCAGGTCTCAGCCCCATTCTGCCGGCTCCGGGGTCAAGGTCACCCCACAGGTTAGAGGCACCGGGAAGGGCAGGCCCTCGGGTCCCCTGGGGCTGGGCACCCACAGTCCCCGAGAAATCTGACCTGAAAAACGCCATTTTTTAATTTTTATTTTTCCTGTAGAATTTGATCCTCTTTCTCCTTTGTGGTGAGTGTGATGTCCACATGCACCTTTTTTTAAAAAAAATTTTTACTTCTTGGTGAAAAAAAAAGCTCGACCCTTGGAATGTAGGCGGCTTAGGTTGAACTCCTGGCACGGCCCCGGATGGGCTGTGCGACCTCAACCAACGACCGACCGTCTCTGAGCCGTCACGGAGCTGTTTGGGGCTGAAATGAAAGAACTGGGGGTGCCCGGGCCCTGCCCGAGGAAGGCGTGGGCACCCACAGGTCTCGTTTGCAGTCGCCAAGCAGACCACGGTTCCGGGGCGTCTGTAAGGGTGTTACCTGTAACCGGGTTCTGGGCGTGACCGCGTTAGACCTGCGTGTGCGTGTGTGTGACGGTAACTGTCATGTCACATGTGTCACTATCTAAACAGAAGTCAATCCCTTAAGCTCAGAGCTTACACTTAATACCCAACTCAGCTGTGGCGGGAGGTGCACGAGGCCTGCGGACAAGGGATCATGGAGGGACCGCTGTCAAGGGCTGGTCGGTGTGTGTCGCCCTTGGCGTGGGTCTACAGGAAAACACGCCGCACACACGTGGATGCTGAGAGCGTGCTGGGTTGGGGAATCAGAAGACAAGGCTCCCCTCTGACCCGGACTCCCCCGTGACC